TAACGTTAAAATACAGTATTTTTGTTCTTAAGCGATCGAATGTTTTGTCACGGGTATCACAGAAATATGTATTGCATAAACCAACCATTGTTTATATACAGTAGATGCAAGCTAAGAAAATTTACGAAAGTAGTTATGATTAGCAAAACATATAAAATTTTATCTTTGATAAATTATTCATTTTTAATAGTTAAGCTTAGCTTTTTTCATGTTAGGGTTAGTATAGCTTATAAGTAAAATCTCTTAAAGAATCTATTTTACGAACTATACATACCACCTTAATTTCTACTATATATATTTTATTAGTTGTACATTACAAATTCGTTATATACTCTTTGATACCGAGTTTATATATGAATATATACAATGATGCTACTATTGTTACTTTTTTGATTTTACCAATTAAGTACAGTATTTGATGGAATAAATTCGGATTTTAATTTAACAATTCGAATTTAATTTCAAAGTTGAGTATCACTAATGAAACAAACTCTTCCAACTCGAGGTACAATGATAAGTATGTATTATATGGCTTTTATGAATTAATCGATTTTATTAGGTCTTTCGTAATATACAATTAGAGAGCTAAAAAAAAATCAGACTCTAATAGCAACAATTGACCTTTATATAGAACTTTTACTATCGCTAAAAAGGAAATAAAACCATTACGTTATATAATTAATCAATAATTCCTAACTATAACAAAATGTAACAATGAATACGAAAAGTATAATAAAATTAAAATAAAACTACAGTAATTGTGTAATGTGTAATAATTACTAATGAAAGATATTGCGAAAGAAAAATATAATAATAAAATACATCACGAAAAATTTCGTTAACTTAATATAATAGTTAATTTTGATTGGTTAAAGATAAAAGGAGTGTATTCAAGCCTTTCAATAAACAATTCCAAATATTTACTGTTTTATAAGAATTTCAATTTTAATCAACAACACTGATTATACTACCATCAAGGGCTATATTCAGTGTTTGACGCTTTTGGCAATAAGTTTTCCAGTAAAATAAAATACTAGAATGATGGCTATTGCTATAACTATTAAACAGCAACAAACTCCACACGTAATCTTCGCACAAGAATGGTGACTTCTACCACCACGAAGTTGCCGAAGGTGGTCTGGGATGGCTGGTTCAGAATTTGTTTGATTTAATTCTGTCTCATTGGAAGTTTGGCCTTTTTCTAAATTATCTTCAACCTGCTGATTTAATTAGGATTAATTTGAACAATTAAATTATTAAATCACATTTCATTTAACACAGTATTATTTTTTTAATATAATAATTACTTTTGACATAACTACTTCTGACATAATTACTAGTTTCTTACTGCTTAAAAAGAAAAAAAAATGTTTATTGTTTCATAACGAATTAACTGAAAACACAAACTGTTTTTTTAACTTACTTAAAAAATAATTATAATTTTTTTTTATTTTTTTTTTTGCAAAGTTTTTGTTTTACAATCAATCAAGAATTATAAATCTTTATATACTTTAAGGATAATAAGGACAATACTGCGCAAGCAAAGTTAATCGTATTTTAGTGATTAACATAATCATTTATTCAAAGAAACAATTGCCATTACGTATTGATGATAATTTTTGCTTATCTTTATTAATAAAGTACGTCTAGTTTTGCTTCGTTGAACTTTACACAAATACATTGGCTATCTAACATGACCCTGGCTGAATAAAGATTAACAAGACCCTGACTGAATAAAGATTAACATGGTCGGATAAATTATTGATTATACCATTTTGTGGTACGGTATTTTTGGATTAAATGTTTTGTTGTATATATTTATTCGGCGTATTTTAACTTGTCTACTTCTAGATACATTGTCACCTTCATGATCCAACATTGTATATTGTTACGTATTAAGTTTTCTTGGTATGCACGATTAATGTTCTATTTAAAATCTAACTTGTTGTTTTTGAATTGCATTAGATATTAAGCAAAAAAGATTAATTAAAATATAAGTGGATGCCTAATTACAAAAAACTAGTCTTGTTTTCTTATTTAGACTTCTTATTTTGTGCTTGTTGAATATTTTAAAAAGGCATTCGTTTCTATAGTAAATACATAGTTACACGATTTTCACAATGTTCATAGTAGAAAACTTCTATTTTTTGGAAACGCCTATTTCCACTATGGAAATTTGCTATCCTACAATTGGACGTAATTTATCATGACAATTTTCGTCATACTTATGTAGCTAAAATTCATGTAAAATCCACGGCGACGAAAATAGCAATCTTTATGATGGAAATAGAAGTTCCATATTTTTATGATTAATTTAAAATTCTAGCAAACCAAATATATTTTTAGAAATGATTCTGTCAATATAGTAACGAAACACAAAGCCATTACACTAATTAAAAGTTGGGGCCTCAAGTGAGCAAAGTTATAGCAGTGACGCAAAAGAATCGTGCTTTAAGTTTACGTATTATTTATTATCGTACGCCACTGCCCTTAGTACCTGGTATGATGCAATTTTTTACGTAATATATAAAAAATTAAAAATCACATGCATTACACATGTATACGTGCTTAAATAGCGATAGTATTTTTAAAAAAATTAATCTATAGTATTTGTCACACCGAGTACTAAAAGCAGTGACATACAGTACTTATGATTTACTACAAAGCCCTAATCGGGGACGTAAATACGTAAAGCTAATTACGTAATATATGTGTCACGATCAGGCTGAATCTGATAAATGATAAATAATATCGACAATAATATCGCTTTTTTCGATTTAGTTGGATCGACGATCTTTTTTGAGTCCTGTGAGTCCTGTGATAATAGGTAGTCACCAATTTCGTCATATTTCACGGGACTCATCATAGTTATTCATATGGGGTCTTTGCCTTGAAAATCAAGTTATGGGACATAGTAAATCATATGTCATATATTTGTTTTTCAAGGCAAAGACCCCATATATTTCCCTCTTATCGGTAAATAAGTTTCACAAAATCGATTAACTCACGGGACTCAAAAAATTACGAAGATCGTTGATCCAAAATCGAAAAGAACGATAATACGTGATAAACTTGAAAGCACGAAGTTTGATACCACCCAAATGAAAACAAGGACGATAAAAATTATCAGATCAGTTTTCAAGGTGTTTAAGAAGTATCGTGAAGTCGATTTTTGATTCTAGTCAATCAATTAATTGATAATTACTGTTGAATTTTTTATTATCACCCACATCATAATAAATATTCAGAGAATGTATTTCTTTATTTTCACGTTTACAATGACTCTTTTCAGCTGAAATTGAATTAGTCGTAATCTTTTGCTTGTCGTTGACATCTTTTTAGATTTTATTAATCTGAAAAATTATAACAAATTCAGCGTCTTTTACAATTTCTTTTTAAAATCAATCTATTCCTATTTCAAGAAGGTGGCTTCGTCACCAATTTTAATAAATAAAACTGTATTGTGCGACTGTAATTAGGATATGGCTGATGAATTATTTTAGTTTTCATGGTTTAAAATTGATTTGAATCAGAGCCACCGGATTCTAACAATAGCAAAAATAGCACGGGCGATATTGTGACAACCACATATTAATTTCCGATTAAAATTGGTTTATTTTAATTCTATACGTCTGTAGAATAAAAATAAATCAATCTTGGTTAGATTTGGTTATGTGGTTGACGCGTATATCGCCAGTGCTATTTTTGGTTATGTGGTTGACGCGTATATCGCCAGTGCTATTTTTGGTTATGTGATTGACGCGACATCGCTAGTGCTATTTTTGGTTATATGGTTGACGCGATCGCTAGTGCTATTTTTGGTTATGTGGTTGACGCGGCTATTTTTGCTATGGCTAGAATCCGGTTGCCATGATAGTAAACATTTACGAACTTGAATGATCTATTTCAAATATCTCATTTTTTATTTACATAAATTAATGACGAATAGGAAATTTTTTATACTACTCATATGGCTAGTGCAAATTAAATGAAGTAAATAAACTTGTTCGATTTATTTCAAATAATCGGGAACCTCAAATGCCTTAAAGAAAAAAAATTGTACTAATACGAATTAAGAATGCTCATAAAATGTAAATGAAATAAGTGTTCGATTAATATGAATAAAATTAATGTGTATAAATAAATATTCCCATTAATGTGACAACTTATATAAAGTTGGGATTCGCTCATACTGGGATTTTAAACTGTTTTAACAAATTTTCATTTCTTTTTTCTATATTTTTTTGTTTAGAATTATGTAATAAAGGGTATTTAAATTTTAGTAAGTATTATAGGTTTAAACGAGGAACCCAAATTCTAGCATAAGCAAAATTCCATCATAGCTATCACGATTAATGTGAATAAATTCCATCATATTTTATCAGATATTAAAGCGTAATCTAGTATCCAAAAAAAAATATCTAAGGAAATTAAAAATCAGAAATCAATCGATTTTTTCTTTTAATTTGTATAATTCACAAAGTTACGCAAACTTTAATAACTTAATAATCTAAAGATTTCAATTAATGTGAATAAAATGAGTGCAGTCAAAGGAAAACCTGCCATCAGACTTCGATTTATACTTATTTCAGGACTTCAGGACTTCCGTTAAAAAATCAGACCAGTGCGTATCATATGTAGTCACTGATGAGATGTTTAATGAATAAGTTTTGAAAAACACGATGACAAGCTTTTCATTTACAGAACACAAATATACATTGTATTGGATTATATTAAGTATGGGTCTCAATTTTTACTGTTAATACAGTAATATGCAGGTTTAGTCTTGATCAAAGTCTAATATGTGATCGTCTAAATTTATTTACACACTTTAGCATATTACGTTTTAGATATTAAAAGATATTCTATTTCATAGTATTTATTTATGCAATTCATAAAAGCTAATGACATTCTTTATAAATCATTTCATACATGAAAATTTGGAAAGCAAAAATTCTTTTATTCATTGATCGTTATAATCCAATTATAAAAATTAGACATTATTGCAATATTTTAATCTGATTAAGATAATAATAATGTGAAGATATGGGATGAAAAGGTGAAATCAGAAAGCCAAAAGGTGAAGTTGAAAAGTAACGAGGTGAAGATGAAGAGTAATTAGGTGATGATGGAGAGTAATTAGGTGAAGATGGAGAGTAATTAGGTGAATCTGGAGAGTAATTAGGTGAATACAGAGAGTAATTAGGTGAAGATGGTGAGTAATTAGGAGAGTAATAAGGTGAAGATGGTGAGTAATTAGGTGTGTAATTAAGTGAAGATGGAGAGTAATTAAGTGGAGATGGAGAGTAATTGGGTGAAGATAGAGAGTGATTAGGTGAATATGGAGAGTAATCAGGCGAAGCTGGAGGATAATTAGGTGAATCTGGAGAATAATTAGGTGACCCTGGAGAGTAATTAGGTGAATCTGGAACGTAATTAGGTGAAGCCGGAACATAATTAGGTGAAGCTGGAGAGTAATTAGGTGAAGCTGGAGTGTGCGTCACTTTCACTTTCATTACTTCTCCTTCTTTAAGACGGAATTCATTAAAAGAAATATTTAACAAAGTCAAAGTAGTATTTTTGCAAAGTAATTCCGCTAAAATCTTTCCTACTTCATAATCAAGATCATTGTAACTAAGATCTAAAGATGTTAATGTTGTATTATTGCAAAGAGCCTCTGCGAATGCTTTTCCTCCTTCAAATCCGAGATAATTATAATAAAGATTTAATGAAGTTAAAGTAGTATTTTTGCAAAGTGCCTCCGCTATTTCTTTTCCACCTTCAGGACCAATTCGATTTTCAGAAAGATCTAAAGAAGTCAGATAAGAGTTCGCACAAAGTGCTTCTGCGATTGCTTTTCCTCCTTCCGGTCCAATATGATTATTTCTAAGGTCTAAAGAATTTAGAGTGGTGTTTACGTAAAGAATCTTTGCAAGTGTTTTCGCATCATCAGATCCAAGACAACTTCCATAAATCCTTAAGGAGGTAAGTGTAGTATTTTTACAAAGAACTTCTACAAACTTTGCTTGATTATAAACAATTCCCTCAAAATGTAAGTATCTAAGATTACTAGCTGTACGTAGAAGCAGTGCAATTAAAGAAGATTTTATTGCACTTATAGATTCACATAATCTATTGGAACGTCTGTTTTCAAGCCAATTAAGAACACCATAGATCAAATCAGAATTAATAGATTGAATATATCTTGTGTATTCAAATAATGGTACTTGATCTTCAGGAAGAGTTATATTAAAAGGTATCAACTGAACTTGTTCTTCGGCATTTAATAGTAAAAGACATGTTCTTACAAATCTTCCATCTAAGGCATTTGGTTCATGCCATAATAGTGGTACGACGACTCTACACCATTGACGGTTTACAAAAAGGCACGGAAATAAGTCTTGCTTAAAATGATACCAGGAGTTACGATAAGATGACTGGAAGTTTTTAAAGATTTCTAAAAGACATTCGTTCGGTAATGTTATCATGTTTAAAAGATCTACTTTTGTTTTTGAACGAAATATATACCTATGGTTGCATGAAATGCTGTGAAATGTTACATCTTTTACATCTTTTATTTTTAAGTCAACACTGATCGACATGGATTGACTAATTAATTACGTATTTTACTGTATTACTGTATTATAAGATCTGATGTAACGTGATAATCATGCGTTTTTTTAAAAAAACGTCCATAACTCAAATTTCTTCTATATAACCACCTTCTGCACATTAATAAAAAAAAATTCCTTGCAAATTTTTGTGTAAGGTAAGTCTGTTACAATCATGAACCTAACCATAATATGATATTTTATAACTTTACAAAATTGCGCATATTCGTTGTTTTGATGTTATTTGATTGGACAATCCATGTCGATCAATGAAAATCAAAATCAATTACTCGGGTAACTTATTTATACACTTTAGAGTACTTTTTAAGAACGTGACGTTTCACTAATAAAAAATCACCGTAAAAGTTATTCTTAGTTTTAAACGAGCGTTAATATTCATTATACAAAAGAATTTACCTCCTCACCGACTTTACTTAGAAGAAAAAATATATGACCGTTTATTGAACCATGAGAAATTTTTTCGTCTAAGACTACTTTACCCTATTAGATTTAAATAAACATTTATTGTAACTGTTTAGTTTGAACAGGTACAAGCTCTTTCGTAGCAAAAGTTCCGAATTTAATGTTTCTTGTAGTGCGTTTGGGTTTGTTAAGTGTTGCTTATATCTTATAGATTCTTTAATGAGCTCGGTTTATTAGGAATAAATACCGTATTTATCCCACTTTACGTGTATCTATCTATTTTCTAAATAGTTGTAATAAATTCTTTTGCATGTATTTATTAATTTGTAAGCTTTTATATATAGAGCTTGGATCCAATCATCAGTTTTCATATCAGGTGATCGACATTTCAGGGTAAATTTTTAACATGTAAAATTTAGGCAAAATTTGCTTTATAAGCTTATTTAACAATAAAGAAGTTGTTAGTTTAATTTCTGGGTATCATTTTGCAAATTCTCCAGCATTTGAAGAATAGTTTAAAATAAAATTAAGGACAATCTTGGTCACAAAGTGGGCCAATTTTTTTATTATTTTTTACTATTTGTTTACAAGTGATGTACATTATTTAACCAAAATAAGTAATGAAAAAGTGTCAATTGATTGATGCTGCCTGATTTGTTTTTTTTTTTTAATGTTAAGGTGACTATTTAGGGTCTGGCATATTTTATTAACTTATAGTTTAAATGTCAGGGTAACTACTATGTGAGCACCCCAACTTTATTACATTAACGAAAGTATTATTACCCTAATTAACTTAGTGTCATCAGATATTCTCCCTGAAAAGGAATTGCTGTAAAAGCCTTTTAGGACTTTAAAGTGAACACAAACTATCATATAAAGTGTCCTTTATCCTTGTGATAAACCTACTAGAGCAGTCCATGTCTTATATATGTATCACCTAGATTTTTAGTAACTTACGCCTAGGCTGCAGCTAAGTACTTGCAGCTTTTTACCTTTGTTACCATTATCTACTCCTTGTCCTTGCAAAGTTCACTCAAACTTTAGTACCTACTTTACAGACTATCAACAATATTTTGAAGTTAACTATTCAGATGGTCCGGAAGAAACCAGTAGGTATCTTTTGATATTTTGAATGAATCCTTTTTCCTCTGATTATCTGGCAGCCTAATTGGTGTAGTGCTTGCCAAACACTTGGTCCTTGTTCAGTTTGTCTTTGGTGTTCAGTTCTCTAAATAATAATCCTTTACATAGTGCTATTGAAGATCTATACTACCTCTCTACTCAGGACTTTTCAAGCAGGCTTCTATATCTTCTAATTTCTTGAATTTATTTGGCTGCTTCATCTAAGATTCATATAACTCATACATTACACTATATTCTACAACCTCCCAATATGAGTTGGTAAAACCAAGGTTATAAATGCTGACCTGATTGATATGTCATATAGTCAGCCATAATACATTTCTGCAAATTCAAATTTTATCACTAGTAGAATTCAAACTCTTATTCTGCTGCTTGGGGTGTGACAACTTACCAACTTCACTAAGTTACCACACTCTACACTGTCTAATTTTTTATGATATAAACAAATAGTAAAAAATAATAATAATCACAAAAAAATTAGCCTACTTAATGGCTAAGATTATTTTCAATTTTATTTTAAACTCTCTTTAAAATTTTATAAAAAGATTTTTCAAATGCTAGAAAATTTGCAAAATGATATCCAAAAATTAAACTAACAACTTCTTTATTATTAAATAAGCTTAAAAAACAAATTTTGTTTAAAATTTTTGGGTATCAGTTATTTGACTTCATATTTAAAATTTACTCTAAAATATTGATCACCTGATATTAAATTTAACAGATATACAACAGATTTTATTATTAAAATTCAAGCTCTAGTTATATATTTTTATTTCTATATAATAATATTAAAACAATAAAAATATAATTTGGTTGGTTAATTATCACAAGTAATCATAAGTAGCTCTACAAAAATTAACTAATCCTATAAATATCTTTTTATAAGATATTACAACAATGTCAAAAAAGCAAAATATGCATTTTTGATACTTTTGTGCTTAGGGTACAGAATGGGCCGGGTTAGGCCAGGCTTGTTCAAAAAAAACCCAAACCTGGAAAATATTTTTGAGCCCAGGCCCGGCCCAGAAAAAAAAAAAGCCCAGAATAGTGGGCCAAGCCAGGTTTTGTCTTAAATTAGACCCAGGCCCAGCCTGGCCAGTCTGTAATTTACTTTATTAGTGTATATTGATATCCTTTCTTCAAGTTTATAATTTATAGAATATTTATAATTTTTATTTGCATTAAATAATAAGCATTCATATATTTAATTATAATACTTATTTTAAATGTTGGATTAAAAAACTTGAGTAGCTTTATTTTAAGCTCTTTTGATTAGTTAATTTTTATCATTCTCATCCAAATTAGCATGAACAAAATGAAATTGAATAGTTATAAAGTGTAATATCTTATTTTAAACTTAGAAACTTTTTTACAGATATGCATTAATGTTAAAATAAGGCGAATGAAAGTTAGGCCTCAGCATAGGCTGGGTAATAGAAATATCCTAGCCCTTCTTAAGTTACAAAACCAGCTCCACTATATAGTTTGCAATAAATCTAATAAGTGCTTTTCTATATTCTTTGATCTTTTGGTCTTTCTTTTTTTCGTCTACTCCTAATAGTATAACTACACCAATTATTCAATATTGCATTAATAAATTTTATTGTAGCATTAAGATCTGGCATTTCTTTAACCCTGATTTTAAAACCGAAGAGTAATGCATCTTGTCAAATTTTAACAATTTTTTCTTGTGATTGCTCAAAAATTTTATTCATATCATTATCAGAAAGAAAATTCAAGCTATTAATATTACTAAAACCTATTAATTGAACAAGATTATATACCACTTTTTACTATTTTACTGAATAAAATTTATGTAAATCAACTGAGGATAGATTTATAGATTCATGTAAATCTTTCTATTGTATTTCTTCTTTAACATTCAGATTTTTTATAGCTTTTGTTGTGTTAGAACCTTGTCTTAAAATATGCCAATCTTTTAAAATACTGTAAAAGTTCAGGATCATTGAATATTTCTACAAAATCTATATCACAAAGTTTAATCCAGTTATTATTATTTATACCTCAGTTCGAATATCATCCTTATTTCCAATATCAGCTAAAGCATATGTTCTCCATAAATAATAATATTGTAGAGTCATATTATCAGCAAAAGAGCATATAAGGTTTTGCTTAAGAATTTCAGCTTCATCAAGACTAATATTTGGAATATTAGCTATTGATACTACATCTGCACTTTTAATTTTTTCTCAATATTCTTAATTGTATAAGAAATTTTATTTCTGTTAACTTTTTTAGTATCTTCTGTCAAAATTAATTTAAAAGTTACTCTAATACTAGCAATGAAACTGCAAAGAATTTCAGAAAATTATTTAGCTGATAAGATCTTTGATATTTAACTTCAATATAGGTTTCTACTGCCAGAGATAAATTAAGTGTATAACAATCAGCAATTTTATTCTATGCATACTGGCTTTTATTACCATATTGTTAGTAAGTCTTCAGGTCTTAATACTGAAAGTTTAGCCTGAATGAGTTTTTGATATAGTTCTTTGAAAATATCAAATTTTTTGCTATAATAAAGAAAAACTATATATAATAGGCAGTCAACATAGACTGAAGTGACAATATTAGTAATTTCTATAATTGCATCACAATAACCAGATATTTCAAAGGATATGCCAGCTTCCACAGTGCTTATATAAATTATACAGTCAAAAGCACTCTAGGTAGCATCAATATTAACAAAATCATCTTGGTATTGTTTCTTATCTATTTAACCAAAATAAACTTGTGATAAAATAAATAAACCATTAGATTTTTGCAACTTAAATATTTGATTAGCTAAGGCTCAAGCTTTTTTACAGGATGTCATAACAAATACAACATGCTTACCTTCTTGGAGCATCCTAAGACCTTTATGTATAGCTTCTGAACCCTTATTTGGATCATAAAAAAATTTAACAATTTTTTTTTTACATGGTTAATATTTGTTATCAATGATTTAAACATTTTCACCTCGATAGGATTTTAAGAAAGCTAAAGATAAATCATTTGCAAAATTGTTTATAGCAACAATACGAGTAGCTACATTTAATAAATCATACATAGCATTAAAAAATTTTCAAGCTGAACTTCACTAGCTATTTAATGCATAGTAGCTTTGCTTTATCTAAAATTGCTATAGGAATGACCCCTTGAAAATCAAGACAAAAAATATTTTCAACTTGTACAATAATAAGATTCTGCTTATATATCTTTAGATCGGTTACAATATTCTGATACTGTCCTACTTTGAAATTGAATTTTTCTAATTCTTTAAGTTTAGCTTCAAATTCATTGCTAAGAGTTTTGCAATAGCAACCCAGATAGTACAAGGTAAATTAGCACTACTTTGAGCTAAAGATGCCAAAATTTTTCTTAATATTTTTGTTTTTTCAGTACTACTATAGATTGAATGAGAGTCATACTAGGTTCTTTATTTAAAAAGGCTGAAAAAATATTTAAGACATTCTCCATCTCTTTTACATTAATACTTTTTCCAAGTAATTCAGAAAATTGATATAGAGTTGATAAAGCCTTGGCTAATCTTTTGTATAATCTTCACTTCTTAGACTTTTTTTTCAACTTGACTTTATCTAATACCTTATTGAAACTAAGGCTTTTGTGTCTTGGCTTATATTGTTTTTGCAGATAGTACTTGAGAATAAAATGTTTATTTTTTCGAATAAAGCTATAGAGTTGAACTTTTTATGTTTAATATTACATATAGGGAATTCTTTAATGGATTGTGCTTGAAAATTGATGAATCTCTTCTCGATTCTTCAATCTGAAGCCACTTATATTTTGCAATAACTAGATTAGCACCTTTACTCAAAGCATTTTCATCATTAATAGGTTGTAATTTTTTTTTTACCGGCTTCTCAGAAGAAAAGGTTCATGGACAGATTTCTAAATAATTTGATTTTAGTTAAACCAAATAATCATCTAGATTTTTAAACCCATTCTTAATAGAAGAAATAGCTGGTCTTTTAATATATTCTTCTTTTGCAAATCCAAGAAGCTGAAGATTAAAGTGGAGTTTGTAAAGTCCAATATCAAATAAGATTCTTCAACTGATTCAATAATTTTTTCTACAAAACTTTTAAGGTCACAGTAATTAATAAATTGAATATAGAGATAAATAATATGCCAACTACATTTATTTATATTGCCAATGCAAAATTATTTAATAATACTATACATCCAATATGGAATATAATGTATCTTTGCAAGCAACTAAAATTCGAGATATCAAATCTTTACAAATAATTTTTTCACTATCTAGAGAAAAAAGTTTAAGATTATTTAGATCAGGCTTTTGCCTTGCATCAATATCAATTATCAAGTGAAGAGGTTGGTTATCATTAATACATTCATGAGTATTAGATATTCCATAAACTTCACTAGAATAATCGATCACTATATAACCTTTTCCTACTACTCGAATAATATATTAAGAATAGATCTCTTTGAGTTAACATGCTTTTAAAACAGCCTTATTGTTTCTATCAAAAGTGCTGACATGTCTATTAGATGCAAGCCAGTATTTATAAAATGTATGTTCTTTATGATCAGTTTAGGTACATTAGTGTACTCTGTGAGTAATTAAGATTTATTAAACCTATAAAAAGCTTTTTTGCTTCATTATATTCAGCTGACTTTTGAATTAAGCATTAATATTGTAGGCTTGAAGAGTTATTGCTTTATAATAATGATTCATAAAGATGTTTTTTTGCTTTATTAGACAAACTCATTTTATTGATTTGTATATATTTAGGATTTGTATATATGTTGATTTAATAATTTATAATAAAAGCATTATAAAAAGTTTAATTAGAAAAATAATTATTTTATATACCAAATTGAAAATTATAATTATCGCTATTTATAATGGTATTCTATTCTTGTTCACATACTTATATTAATAGCTGAACCTGTAAAAAAGGTTGTTATTAATATATCAACTGCTTCTACATATAGTATAAGTATTAAATATACTAGAAAATATTGCAGCAAAGCAAACTATCACAAAAAAAGATAGACTGAATTGATTACAAAATACTATTCTATATTAGAAAATCATATATTTAACTTACCCGATTCTAGACATGAACTATAAATATTTTCTAAGACCCCTGGTCCTGCAATTTTGATTATATAGCTAAGATAGTATATAATGATGAGACTAGAGCAATGATATAAATTTTTCTGATAACTTCTTTAAGTAAAGCTATATTATTCTTTGGCTATATTAGCTCTGCTAATACTTTCTATATTTTTTATTATCATATAAAGCTATAGATTCTAAAACCTTTAATCTATTCCATACATTACTCATATCTATTTTCTAGTATAATCACATTCAACTCATAATTAATTTCAATTTGAAAAAATAAGTAGATTAATGTATAATAATTACAATCTACTTAACGATATATATTATTTACATATTTATCATAGCATATATTCAAAAAACTAGAAAACCAAAAACTAATAGCTTTACCTCTATTTTGAATCAGATTCTCAATAAATATAATTTATTGACCGAATCAAACCTACTTTAATTACATGCTCATACTGATGGGCTTGGTACTATGCTACCAAATTGAAAGGTTTGTAAAGATGTAAAAGAGGCTCTCTGTTAGCCTTATTCAAAGAAAATTAAATAGAAACTCTAGTTCTGAACAACAAAAAAAAAGCTTATTTTCAAGGAAAGAGCTTAATATAGTATGAAAACTGAAGATATGTGAGATATTTGGTTATATACTTTAGACTTAGCTGTGCTAAAAAATAATACAGATGAAGCAATTGTAGCAGCTAGTTCTTGTATTTTGCAATTTTGTAGAAAATTAGTAAAAGCTAGAGTTAGATCTGAGCAAATTGATATATATGCCAAATTGCTATAAGTTATTTAAGCTTCTAATGAAATTCAAAAGTGGTAACTCAAATAGTGATTACCCAACCCATCTAAAACTCCCAAATACTTTTCTTAGAGGAAGGACTTAGAAGAATTTAAATATTAATACTACTAAAATTTCTACTATACAAGATTTCGCAGATATAATTATGATGCTAAGCATGAGACCTGCCAAAGTTGCAACTCTTTGTATTATCTATTATGAACCTGGTGAATCAAATCTTCTTATATAATACAAATCTGGTTATTTTTAGTATTGTATTGGGTATATTAAAAATAAAAGAAAAGCAAAAAATAATTCTGAATCTTAGCAATTTCTATCCATAGAAAAGAATCTAGAATGTGCAAAAAAATTGCTTATCTGGATCCAAGATACAATAGCAACTAAAAAGTTATGCAATCTTGTCTATAGTATTAGTAGAAAACATAGTACAGGAGTATTTAGTAAATTCTTAAAACCATATACTATAGTATTACAGCCAAAAGATTAAGAAAAATCAGAGATAAATATACTTCTAAAATTCATAGTAGTCAAACCCAACTTCGCAACATCTTGAATTCTTTAGCAAAGTTGCAATGAGGTATAAGATAGACTATTTTGATTCTGAAAAATATTACTGTATATTGCTGAACATAAACTACCTCCAAAAATAAGGTATCTTCCTTTTTTAAAAGAAAAATATAAAAACATCTTTATCTGAAAATAAGCTACTTAATGATCATCAGTAGTTACTCTATAGTAAAATCAACTTTTACTAAGTAAATTAACATAGCTTATTATGTGAAAGTTGTTCAGGAGATCAAAATATATATATTTTGAAAGTTTGATACAAATTGGATAACCTTTTATTAATACAATTTTGCATGTTACGATAGATGAATTTTTTAAATTTTCGGTTAAAATTTCTTTAAAATCCATAGTAAATGAATGTAAAAAGCAAAAGACAATTAATAAAAAGTTATCTGATTTACATGAAATTTTAAAAATATATGTATTTTGATCTTCTGAACAATTCTTAATTAATAAACATAGGCGATTTACTTAATAAATTTTTCATAATTAGCAAAAAAACACTTTTACCCAATAATAAGCTACCTACAAAATTTTTGTATAACTTTTTAGCCAAAAATAGTAGCTTATTTTTGGCCATATATAGTATGCTAAGGATGATACTTCAGATTCTGACCTTGACTCAGATTCAGAGCCTAAATCTAAAACCCTAGCTCCCACACCCAAGCTAATTAATGAGAATATTTCTGAAATTAAAGATATTTATAACTTATATAGGAGTATCTAAATTAGTTTATAATTTATCTATTTATTTACTATAATCCAGCTTTATAATTAGACTTATTAGATATTTTTAAGTAAAATTATATATGCAAACCAACTTATTAACCGCATTTGCCCTTAAGCTAAATTTTTTATTCATGATTGTTAGCAAAGATCTAGTAATTTTTTCTTATACTTATTAAATAAAAAGTATTACTTAATAAAATTCACATATTTGATAAATACAATATAATATACATCTATACAACTCACTTCTTATTCCAGATACTATTGCTGAAATTATCTCAAAACTTCTATTAGGAGATCTAGATAACTGTATTCGAATTAACTGCACATGATATAAAGAAATTTGTTGTAAACTTTATAAGAGGTGTAAAAACTTTAATACAAAATATTATGATTTATTGGAGAAACTAGACAGATACTAAAGAAAATTGGATATAAATGATAATGAAATTGAACCTATATATAATTATATATTAATAACATTTGATGAGCTCATAAAAGTAGAAAGATATTTATTAAATAAAAATATGATCTTTAGTAAAAGAATTAGAAATATGATATTGACCAATATCAAAAACTATATTTATAGGAACTCTCTAGATTCATATAATTTTGAAGAAGGTATATTTGAATATATAAAATATCTTGAAACATTATAAGGTTTCATTCACCATATTAATTATTTTTTTGATACCCTTAAACAAAATTTTTTATCCATGATTATCAATGAAGATTGAGCAATCTCTCTCTATACTAAATAATTCATGAATAAATAGATTATCAAACCGAAATTAGTTTCTTAAAATCTGTAAATTAGGTTTGTTAGCTGTAAAAAATAAACAATATAAAAAGCTAAGCATAAGTAATTTCATTGTTAAAAACTTATCTGGTATCTCATCATTATTATGTCTCTTATTAATCTTCAAAACTTCGCTCTTAATATTTTAAAAGAAACAAAACATAATATAGTACAAAATATCATTATTACAGAATTGCCACCATGTAAACTATGTAAATCAAAATATTATCTGTTAATTTTAAATTATTTACAATACTTTCATGTAAATATATATATTATAGAAAATGTATAGAAAAAATTTTTATTTACAACAAAAAACAAATGCTCTTTATCTGATTATAATAAAATTATTAATCCAGTAGTATCTGGACAAAGGTTTTCTGGATCATTATCTCAGTCTAGTAGAACTTCTGTTCTTGCAGATATATTAGGTAATGACCTTGGATTAGGTTCTTCAATGGCTGTATTACCATTATTAGATCAAAAAGACCCCCTACTTTATGAAAATAAAACACAAAAAAACATATTATAGAATCATCAGATAAATCTGATAAAAGACAGAAGTCAATTACTAAGGAGGACAAATCTTCTACAATAAAAAAACTTATCAAAGAATTAAAAGATGATAGTGTTAATAAAGATTTAATATTTCCCACTCAGTTATCTGAAGATAGTTATACTTATCTTTACAAAGAAATAGTTAAAGCTGAAGTTAATAATAATATTGCAAATCAAAAGCTTTTAAACTATTATTTTCAATTTGGTAAAAAGTTATCTGATCACTTGAATTATTATAAAAACAAAAAGAATATCAAAATCATAAGGCTCAAAGTAAAGTAGATAAAGAAGTAAAAGACTAACTACCTTAAGAGGTTAATGATACTACACATTGGAATGGGTTAAATCTTATCCAGCTCTAACTATTTCAAAATTAAGTTGAGAAAACAATGACTAGATTGTAGATAACATTAAATCATAAAATCATATATATACTGCATATTGTGTAACTGTTACACAGCTAACCTCTAGGTTAGCAACTTTTATTTTATTATCACTGTTTTCGAAATGATTGAAAATGGCAAATAAAATTTTTTTTTGTAAACATGCAAACACTCAAATACTCAATTACCTTAGCATGTTGATTGAAGGTTGATGCCTGATTTATGTAATTGTTGAAACAATAACCATGCAGCATGACTATTGTTTCAACAATTAGGCAATCAACATGCTAACATAATTGAGTGTTTGTGTGTTTACTAAAAAAAAAAATTTATTGCCATTTTTAACCATTTTGAAAACAGCAATAAACATTTTATAAAACCAAATTTCATATACATACATATAACCAGTATTTTACCTTATAAGGCTTATACATAATTTGTTTGTAAATGGGTCACCCACAGTTTTTATAATAAAGATTTTAGCTATGTACGTATCGGTATATAACAATGAAAAATCAAAATAATAAAATTACAAATAAAAAAAGTCGAAATTTCTTCGAAAAGTGGCGCATCTTTAGAGGTTGGAACCACGGGTATTGTCATTTTATCGTGTAACAATACGTGGCCTGTTGTACGACAATCTGATTGTTTGTATAAACTATAAAAAGGTAGAATGTACGACTATTTCTTACTAAAAAAATT